GCGATCAGCACTGGCACACGTCGGCATAAAGTAAACTGATCAGAAAGTAATCTTAAAAATACAGAGTTGGTACGAATATCTGCCAACGTAGGTCACATCCAAATTAAACATCGTCATCAGAGCAACGTATTTGCCAGGAAAGCCAACATCTAGTTTTAAACACAGGCCGCTTCTGACGTGTATCCAATTGTCCAGATAAAAGCCTTTTGTGTTGGGTTGGTCAAAAATGTGGCCCATATGAAATGATAACTTAGATTCAACCACCACCTGTAACTTATATTCAAGTTACAAATATTGTTAATTGCTGTGTAAATTAAAAAAAAAAAAACTGGGCCACATTTGGACCCCGGGCCTTGAGTTTGACACGTGACCTATAGACTTGACTTGATTTTTGTATTCAACCTCAAACACTGGGACTCCAAACTGTAGCCACTTTATTGATGATAAAAGGTTATAGACGAGACACTGGAATTGTGTTTCCTGATTCCATTCCAAACGGTGTAGATTATACCTTGGTGACTTGGACTCCAGTCAAGACTCCTTCATGGAATTCTTTTTCTGATGTGATTTTGACCTCGCTCTTAAACCGCAGGGATTCAACTGAGGCTCGACTCCAGGTTTTCTTCTGTGAATCACACTTCAACCCTAACCTCAGACGTGACCTAATCCTTTCTTTGGTGACTGGGACTCAGTTAAAGTTATGGTTGAGCATTAACTGGTTATGGTTAGAGCTACACACATGGTTCTGGTTAGGCTGTAAAAACGCAAAGTGCTAAAAAGATTAGCTGCGCAAACCTTAGTGTGTGCATGTGTGTGTGTGTGCACGTGTGTGTGTAAGTGAGAGTGGCAGGCCATGCTGAGGTAGATTAATACCACCACTCAGAGGGGGGGGGTCCTCCATTCAGGGCTGATTGATGTGCGTCCCAAATTGATTTATGAAAACGGCCCTTCATCAATTATGTGTGGAGAAAGAGGGAGAAAGAGAGAGGGAGAAAAGAAGAAGAGAGCGGGAGAAAGAGAGGATCCTGGGGGGAGAGTGGGAAATAAAGAGGATGGCTCTGCAGATTGGAGAAGTGTGTGAATGAAGCCGCTCTGCTGAGGAATGTGTCCAATAGACGTCAGTTTGTGCCACAGGTGTCCAACATGGCCGCTGTGACGCTCTGTTCAGGAAAACACAATGGACTGTGGCTGATCCTGATGTATGCAGCCCACTCTTTAGGCAACACACTGAGCGTGTTCCATCGGAGACATTTATCTTTACATGCAGTGTTTTACAGGCCAACGATCTGTGAGGCTGTGGCAGACAGTTGACAGATCGGTACTAGAAAAAAAACAAAAAACACACAACAACACACACTTCTCAATTTTCACGTGGGATTTTTTTGTGCTACAGAAAAATGATGATTCCCATGATTCCCAGGAAACATATCAAATGCTAAAATAAATGTTTATTTATTTTCCGTTCTGTGATCATTTTATGATAATTTGCTACATTTATAAGGATGATTTGTAAACATTCTAGTTCCACAGTAAGTGATATTTTCAAGCTAACATTTATGGGCCAAATGCTAAGCTGTTGTTTTTTTGTTTTTTTTTGTAGCACATGCTACACAGTAATTGAAGGCATCAAAACGCTACCTATTTAAATGAAACACACTGATGGAGCCAAGTTCATGCTCTGGTGTAGTTACACTGTCAGCCTCTTGGTGTGGATGGACACTGGTAAACAGAGAGTGGTTTTTGTGCAGCAGCGTACTGTGGTGTGTTTTTGGTAATAATGGCCCATTTTATTTGGGGGGGGGGGTGCAGGGGGGGCAGCAGAGTATAGTGCAAAGCTGCAGTTGTTTAAAAAGCCCTTTCGCCTGCCTTGGCCATTGTGCCTGGGACAGGGGTGTGTGGGGGTAGAGGAGGGTCACGCTGAGAGATCGTTTCTCCTGCCTGTCAGAACTCTATCTGGGATCCAGCCGGAACTAATCAACTCCAATAGGCCTCCCCATTACCCAGGGTGCACTGGGCCATAGGCTGGGGGCTGGCCTGTGGGAAACACACAAGACCCCGGTGCCCCCCCGTAGAACCACCACCACCAACATCACTACCACCATCCCTTCACACACACAAACCCTCCACACTCCAGCGGCCGTGCAGCACACACACACAACACTCCCACTATTTCACACTGAAGCAATAATAAACACTTGCAATAATATTTTCACAGCAAGCAACGGCCTGCTTCAGATCAGAACCTCCACAGCTGTGGAGAGCACCCCTACACACATGGGCAGTTGCCCACATGCACACACATACACAGACATTAGTCATGTCCCGCCATGTCGATGCTCAAGACAAGCCCTGGTGGAAAAAAAAATAAAAATCAGGGACTTGGTTTAGTTTAGACGTAAACAACGGAATCAAACTGAATTAAACTTGAACTTTTCATCATCTGCACTAAGTTTGTCATATTTCAATTCATTTAAAATAATCATTAAACCATTACGGTTTTTACTTAAAGTCACAAAATGATCACACATGCTTTAATGTTTCTTCTGTTATAACACTATAAAACCATAACACAGTTCAGCACCGGCTGTTTGTAGTTCTGTTACAGTGATTTAGTTCATGAGAAACTGTTTATTTTTGTACGTTTTTAACACTAATGATACAAATGTGTTCAAATATGAAAGAATTAAAAGGAAAAATCTTTGAAAATACAAAACTGAGACCTGATTGCAATCGGTACTGTACGATAACATTGCCTTCTAGTGGCAAAACGTTGGTACTGCAATTATCAGAGCAAAGGTAAAATACGGAATCGTTCTATGTAAAATAGGATTATCTTAGGAAGACTAAGAAGCAATGACTCAAAGTCTCTTTTAAAAGTCAAACTGGACAAAACAAAAAAAAATCTTTTGACTGCTGCAACAGCAAAATAACACTGTGTCATTGTCTTCTTTTAGTGACCAGCCAAGTGGAAATGATGGACAGAAGTCAATCTGAGACAAACCATATTATTGTCATATTATTAACATTACCAGTTTATTTCTTAATCTAAACTTAATCAAAACGAGGCTCAACTTTAACCATGGCTGTGTAGTCGAGCAGTTCAGGTGGAGGCAGCAAAGGATTGTGGGTGCACACAAGCCTCAGTGTGTATGTCAAAGTGACTCGAGCCTCTACTGAGGTGAAGTGGGGGCAGATTTACATAAGTAAAGAAACGCCCACCCACCACTACACCCACGTGTGTCTGTTAAGGGCACCAACACATTCATGTCTCCCAACATCCTCACTCCCCTCTGCAATATTTCCTCCCGTCATTCAAACTTATTCCAGGTTGCAGGTGTGAATATGAGGAGTAAATTGGAGATGGTCACATGGGAACCATGTTTATCACCCTGGGGAGGGGGCATTGAGAGGCACCAGGGTGGGGTTAATCCCCATTCACCCGGTTCTTCAGCCAGACGGTCAGGGCACAATAAGACCCTCCTGCCTCCCCCTGAGTCTTCATGGAGACCTCTGACCCTACTTTTGCGACTGCCGCTCCCTGAGCCCTTTATGCCTCCGCTCTGTGATTATCTACAATATTTACTCCCATTGATTTAAACGCTGACCATTGTCGTCGCCCACACTGCTCTCCTGACTGACTAAAACACTCAAGTGCTCCTCCGGCGTCAATCCTGGAAAAGCAAACACCACCTGAAGAGGAAAAGAAGCAGATTACACACACTTCCAGTTGACTTTTTGATTGAGGCCCCGAGTGGACGAACAGAAGAACAGCAGTGAGTGAGGTGACAAAGTCAAGTTAGTCCCTGTTGTTCTGAATGTCTAACTTCAGTATGATCGTAGCTCTTACTGCAGGTGGAGCTGCTAAAGCAGTTGTAGAAGTTTAGATATGTTGTACTCCTGAATGAACATCCAAGTCATTTTACATCTTGAAAACACAATTACATTTTAGTGTTCAGTAAGAATGCCGGCAGCAGCACAAACAGACAAAGACAAAAATCCTTTTCCATTCTCCACGATTCAAACCGTTAACTTGTGGCAGCGTCTGAAACGATGCTAATCGCTGACTTATTCACACGAGTTAATGCTTACAACAACACAAAACAACTGCCCTGCTCCTGTTGCTATTCTCAAGTCACTGTGACAGGGAGACAATAGCAGGAGTGGAAAAAAAAATAAATTAGAGAAACCACAGCGACCAAGATAAACAGATTTTGGACATGAATCAAGTCAGAAAGAAAAAAAAACAAATGTTTGTGTGTGCCTGCATAGTTGTGTTTGTGTTCTATAAATAAGCACAAAAGCCCATAGTTTAGCTGAAGCCACAGTGGAGATGAAAACAAACTCCTCTCTCTCTCAGATGCTTTTTATCTCTGTGTAACACACACATACAGAACCTCCACCTCCTTCAGGACAACACACACACACACACACACACCAAGAAATGGAAATAAACGATGACTGCATCAAATCACAGCCTCAGGAGCAGAGGAGCTCACAGACAGTCTGACCACACAGCTGTGGAGAGTGATGTTGTAGAGGTGTAGTTGAACAGCGATGCTGCGTTAAACTGTTGTAACAAGTGAAACAGAAGTGAACCTGAAGTGTCAGCCAGTGTTTTTACAGCCATGAGTAACTACACCATTTATCTTCAGCTGAATATTTCAGCAAAATACTTTAAGTCTGGAATGTAACCGCAGCTCCAGATGTTGAAGAACGTGTCAATGATGTGACTAAAGTCATGCAACATACACTCAAATCACCAGGAAGTTCCCACTGCTACAGCACGACAGACAGTTCATGGAGCCAAAGACTTTTTCACCTATTTGCATTCACTCAACAGCAGAAAGAAACAAAATGGAGGGAAAAAAAGAAAATTCCTAGGGAAACTTTTCTTCCCATTTTGAATATATCATGTTTCTTGCTTCCAAAGACACATTGGAACTGTGATTTTTTTTGTCTTAACATTTAGAATATTCTGTTTACACTATTATTCATGAAATGAAAATTTACACCAGAAATATGATTCCACACAAAGCACCTTTAATCAGTTTAAAATCACATCACTACCCTCCAAATAAAAAACAGAAGTTGATGAAATAATTAGCTAAATTATTAAATAACAGGTATTATATTACAGTTGTCTTCAAGTTGAATAAAAGTTCGTCTTTATCTCACGTGAGCAGTTAAGGAAAACCAGCCGTCTTTCTCTCTCTGCCTCTCTGTCTGTTTGAGAAAACAGTGTCACTTACGGAATAAAATGTAATGTACACTTATGTGTATGTCTGTATCTGTGTGTGAGAGTCTGTGCCTGCACCTGTTTTCTAACGTTGTCTTCTGTAGTTTCGTCTTCAAATCCGTGAGAGGGCGCTAAAGACGCATCATAGCTGCAGTACAGAAATCCAGTATATCTCACAGAATGTTCTCAAATGAAATCTATTTTTCCTTAAATTTACCATAATAAATACATGCTAAATACCTGATTAAATATATTTACTAGATAGTTTTAAATTATTTATTTTTATTTAATCAAATATTTGATTAAATGAAATGTTAGTTCTGTTGTAGTTACCGTCTGTCAACACCAGTCTGTGACTGAGGCTCCTTTGTAGGCATGTGTACCAGTCCCTCTGGACTGCCTACAATAACATAATGAAACTGAAGATGTAGTAACCAATCACTGCCTCTGACTGATGGAGTCGTGACTGACAGCAGACCTCGTACCTGTTAAAGGTGGGCTCAGGGCAGACGGAGGTATGGGGGAGATGGAGGGAGACGTTTTCAATGAAACGCTGTGTTTCTGTTGTTCGATTAGCTCCAGCAGTCGGCCCCTGGCTGCCGCACTCTGTCTGTTGAGTTCTAGGAGGCGCTGTTCCACACCGCTCACACCGACTGTTCCGGGAGATGTCGTCTGAGCAGGAGAGGAGACACAAACGTGAATCAACCATCTCAAATACTGATCAGTGACAGATATAGATAGTGATGGTTGGAGGGAGGTTTTTAGAGGATGAAGAATAAACTTTATTGCCCCTTGTTTTCATTTTTTGTCTCCTATTTTCCTTGAGTAGACAGGTATAAAGTCTAAACCAAAGAAAAGTGTGTTTCACGTCTCACCTGATGGGTGACTTGGTGTTTATCTGTAAGGTTCTGGTTCCGTCTCCCTGTCCTGCTGGACACAGACGTCCTCCTCTCTACAACACTCTCGGGTGTAGTTTTTCCACTAAGACTGGAGCTCAGTCTTCTCTCCTCACCACTGCTGGTGCTGCTGATGGTCGATCCACTGACACCTGACCTGAGGCTCTGAGACTGACCCAGCTGAGCTCGGATCATCTGGTTCTGTCTGCTCAGCTGAGCAATCTCAGCCTGCACGGCCTCATGGCTGAACTGCGAGCTGAGAGCTTCAGACACCTGGGAGCGTGAGGAGGAGGAGGGGAGGCTGGTGTGAGGAAGGCTAGTGAGGCTCGATGATGAACTCTGGAGATGAACGGGAACAAACTGCTGCTGCTTCTGGTGGTGGTGCTGAAGCTGCTGCTGTGAGTGTAAAGGCTTCATTACTGTGAAGAGAAAGTAGAAATGTGAATCTAATGACATAAAATCACTCAGTCAGTTAATATAAATCAGATCACAGCTTTGATTTAATCACCATTAAACTGCTGCCAGTGGTTTGCCTGTCGAGGGGGTGACAGAAGGACGGCAGGAGATACGGGGGCTTGTGCTTGGTCACGGACAGGCACAGACTGACAAACTGTGTACCAGTAATTTCTATGTTAAAATATATATATATATAAATAATTTCCTTTTATTGGACAACCATTCATGCCCATGCATGCAGAAACACTTTATTAATTATTAACCTGCTCCTTTAATGTTACAGTCCTGACAAGGGTCAGCGTCCGGCTGCAGTAAACCAAGACTTCCGATCAACATCACCACAGAGTCAAACTTCTGCTCCAGCTCTGAGATCCGCTGCTGCAGTCCCACCTGAGAAGACACACCAACACAGTCATTCAACGCTGCTCCAGTGTGAACAATAACCTGGTGTAGGACCTTGATCTGTGTCAGACCTGCATGGTGGCTGCTTCCTCTCTCAGAGTCATGGTCTCTGCTGTGAGAGCGTCGATCAGGTCCTGCTGCTCCCTCAGCTCCTCCTCCCATTTCTTCCTCTCCTCAGTCTGTTTCTGAATTTTCTCTTCAGTCTACAAAGATGGGAAATCAGGTACAGCTGAACTGAATGGCATCTACAGCAGAAGCAATGCAGTTATTGCAATGAAACTGTACCTTTCTTTGGTGCTGCACTAATCGTGCCATTGTGTTGATCAGAGCCACAGAGAATCCAGTCAGGCCTTGTGTTCTGTGCTCTTCTGGACTCTGTGCTTTCTCTGGTGCTGAGTCAGGACCTAGATTATCCAGTTCTGCCTCTACCTGACCCAACATGGTCTGCAGCAGACCCAGAGTGGACTGGTCACCACTGAGAAATGCCACAGAGGAACCATTCACTTCTGAAATTTGGGAGACGGACTTCCTGTTCCTGCTGGTTCCACTGCTGGTTTGACTAATAGATCTTTCTGCACAGTGAAGACAATGGAATCAGGGATGTTATGTCACATATGCAAATCTTTTTTATCAAATTTCATAGAAAACAAAGTAGTTCCTAGTAATTACCTGAATGGTGGAAGGGCAGGTCAGGGTTGAGAACATGAGAAACCAAGTCAGTTGATTCCTCTTCAGCTTCTTCTGCTTGGTTACGCCTGGGTCGAACACGCTCCACAGCCAATGTAGCATTAAGAGCTAAAAGCAATGTGAGATTAATCTGATTGTACACAGTATATTTGCTGATTATCTGTGGTTCACGTGGTCTACTAACCTGCTTGGTTTGGTGCTTTGCCTGTGGTGCGAGGTGTTCCAGGGACATGGCCTTTCTGATGTGTTGCTCTTCTGTGGGACTGTGCCTTCATATTTCGTACATTGGCTCTTCAAAAAAAATAGTGTAAACATGGTCATGGAAATAACTTTAATTCCACAGCTTCATGGGTTTGGCATAGTGTCTTTGTAAATATTACTGTAGTACCTTCTGATTACAGAATACTCTGGACTGCCACAAAAATGTGCATCTTCATCACTGAGGTCTTCTTCTGAATGCTGTAGTTCATTAAGAGCCTGAAATTGGCATTTAAGACTCTCAGTACATGAAAACATACAAAAAAAAATATGAATGTGTTTATTAATAAAACCATTTGACCAAGAACACCTGCTGGTCCATCATAGACTGGCTCAGCAATGACAGCTGAGTTGGAGGATCTGGTCTCTGGACAACAGGAGGTTCTGAGTCAGAGCCACAGTCTGGAGCTATGGTCACACTGGGATGACCTGTCACACACAGACACAAACATTGTGTTATTTGACTATGAATAAAAAAAAATCTATCTTTACAAAATTTTAACTATTTTAACTTTTTTACTTGTACCAATCCGCCTGCGAGGAGCATCTCCAAACAGGTCCTTAACCACAGCCAAGGTTCTGTCAGAGCGAGCCAACACATCCTGCAGCAGCATCTGGTCAGACAGCACCTGCAGTGTTAACATACATATGATTGTTTTAAACTCAGGACAATGAGTGAAGATTCACAATGCATCAGATTGTGTGAACCACAGATATATCTTTACTGTAGCTCATAATTCATGGTTTAAAATCCCACTGACAGACCTCTCTGATGATGCTGAGACTAGTCTGGTCCAGAAGTGGAGGACTCCCTGAGCGTTTTAGGCGGCTTTTCAGAGCTTTTTCTCTCAGTTCCCACTGAGCTGCAGCCTTGTTATGGGACTTGTGAATCTCATGTCGATGACTCTGAGGCAGATGATGACAATCATAATTTTGTTTATTAATATAATTAAGTATGTATATTACATTAAAACTACAAACAGTATTTAAAGAAGACAAATATCATTGTTCTGGTGAAGAAAAATCAACACCATCCTCACCAGCTCAGCAGGGGTCAGCTTGTGCACAGAGAGGTCATTGACAGTGCTCTGGAAACAAATAACAATATGAAGGCACTTGTAAAAGTATAATAAACACAAAAAACATTATTCCTATTTCTAAAGTAATACTTAAACAAACCACAGGTGATATTTAAATATAAATTCAAGACATTTCTTGACTATATTGTTGTCAGGCCTGGGACGACAAGTAAGACTCTGGCTCCCTCTTGTGGCAGTTAGTTGAAAAAACATTAATTTATTTTAAAACCATTTTTGCAAAAGAGAATCTAGAAACATATCAGAAAAACAATACAGGGAGGGGAGAGGGGAAAAGAATAATTTAATTCCTGGTTTTATATAGAATAATAATTCCACCTTTTAACATCACATGTTTCCCTGTTTGTGAATATGTCTGTACTCACCACCCATTCTTTTTTGGCAGCTGTTGTCCTCTTTAACCTCAGAGGCTTCTTCCCTTTATTGTGATGTTGTGACCGCCCGGTTTTCAAAAAAGACATCTGGGCAACATATAGCAAAGTAGGGTTAATAGTGTAAAATCTGGAATTATCCAGACACATTCAGAGACGTGTGGTATAGAGTAATAAAATAAGCTCCAAATGACACCTCTTTGTCGTTAACGTTAGTGTCTGCTAGCATAAGGACGTCAATTTGAGCAAAAAGTTAGCTAACATGAGTTTTTAAGCAAGGATAGCTTCATTAGCACTTACATCGCCCGGTGTGACTTCACGCCACGTCACAGCTGCATTGATGAAGCTCAGCGTTAGCCTAGAGTTTAACTTAAAAACTGAGAACTTCAAAATTGTTAACTCCTCTCATGTGTCGTTTGTTTTGGGGTTTTGTGATAGATTTTCAACGGTTGGCGCCACTTCCTGTGCCGTTGTTGCTACGGACACCGTCACACCAAGGTGTTTGATGGGAAATAGAGTACAGAAAAGCGAGGCACGTAAAACCAATGGCTCAATAGTCAACGAAAGCAGAGTAGACTTCATTCTTAATAAGAACTCGTAATTATATTTCCATTTTTCTTAAACTAATTGGTTAAGTTAGAACACATTTTACACACCTTGAGGAATGGGAGAATTCTGACATTATAATTCCGACTTTAATCTCAAAATCTTGAAAGGAAGTTAGAATACTGACATAGATTTTATAAATTCTGTGGCAGAATTCTGACTAATCCTAGAATTCAAAAATAACTACAGTAAATCTTTTAATAAAATAAATAAATAAAGAGCAAGTGTTTATTATGACCACTAGATGACAGTAGCCCTATACAAATATGTGTGTGGTGTGGTTTGTGGGTAAAATCTCTAACGCTGAATGACAAAGCTGCCTACACCGGAAATAGTGTCTTTTGTCTTCAAGAAATAAGAGCACAATTGTGATCACACAAGTTGTGAATTACAATTAATGTGAGGCCATGGAATAACAACGACAGAAAATGTATTTATAGGAGAATCGGTGGATTTTCAGACATTAATTAATATGTATTTATGCATGAATGTCTTTGCTTAAGAATCTAAAATTTAGTTGAGCACTAAGTGAAAAAAATGTCTTCAGAGCTCCATCCTTTAATAAATGTTGTATCAACTCTTTTTTTGATTGTGACGTTAATATATTTAAAGATATTCACGCGTAACATGCTCCGGAAATTGTATGTTAGTTATATGTAACTTGACGCTAGTGTCTCCGGGGGGGTTATCGCAGTAACGAGCAGAGGTGTGTTTATATGTGACTTTTTTTCACGCCCCTCACACGCTCATTGTGTGGTTCAGGCTGTTCAGGCTCCACTTCACTTCAGTTTGACTGAACTTCTCTGGGCTGACACATGACTCCACTGCCTGATCTCTGAGACACAACAATGACCACGGAGCCAGGAAAGTTTGGAGAAAAGTTATCTTTACGCACGGAAGTGTCGTTGGAGGGACTCAGGGGTATCAGCAGCTGTGCGCCCATGGATCAGGATCAAGCTACAAGTGGCTGTTTCTGTGCGTCCCTGTGGAGATTCATTTGAAGAGTCGGGAGGAGACTTAACTGGCTCACTTTCTGCCGGGGATGCATCGGTCTATCCTTGTTGGATTTACCACAGTTTAGAAAACTTTGAGCTGGAAACTGAAAAGTTCTTTGGCCTTTCTGTTAACTTTTTCTTTAAAGGTGAAAGGTGTGCTGAACAACCTTTGGATCTTAACACACACGCTGTGAAGTCGCGTTTGGTGACATTGGATCAACTTTTACGCACGCGATTTTTGCAGCAAATGACAGCTTTTACGTGGTTTGTTCCTCTCCCACTTTATTCTTTTTGCTCCATTCACCGATCCCAACAACCGCTTCACTTCCACCTGGTCAGACGCGGGGACTAAAAGCACCTCGCCGTCTCTTCCTGTGCGCCGGCGTGCGGCCGCGGGCCACCGGGTCGAGGATGCGGGTGGGAGGATTCCAGATGTCGGTCACCGTAATCATGGCACTCCTCATGGTCGTCATGAAAGTAAAGGCTAGCGGGGAATACTGCCACGGCTGGCAGGACACCCAGGGCGTGTGGAAGGAAGGGTTCCAGTGTCCGGAGAAGATCGACGGAGATGACGCGATCATCTGCTGCGGGAAATGTGAGCTGCGGTACTGCTGCTCCAGCACTGAGGCACGGCTGGACCAGGGCAGCTGCGATAACGACCGACAGGCGCAGGAGCCCGGGGCCGACAGCAAAGACAACAAGGAGTCTGATGCAGGTATGAGTCCATTATCTGTGTCTCTACACATGGAACGGTTTTCGGTTTTATCAGGTTCACTTCGATTTACGATATGATCACGATTAAAAACTCTCCAAGTTAACTCTCCAAGTTAATTTATATTGAGTTAAAAAAAGATTTTAGGTAAATCATCAAGAATCCAGTAGTCTGAACTGGAACAATTTTATATCTCTAATGTGTCAGTTGCAAATAAATGACCAGGACTGTATGTTGGAGAACTAGGGAACAATTTAAGGTCATGGTTTTGCTAACAATTTGGTCCTTTAACTGGATACAACCAGATATCTTCCAGTCCCTAGCTGCAGCATCTTCTCACTGTGCATTCACATGCTTTTTTTTTTTTTTTTAAAGAAAGAAATATTTCCAGCATGAGGTTCCACCATGCTAAATCCACTTTGTAACTGATGTTAAGTTGATAGATGACCGGAGCACTTGAGTTGAGACCTTAAATTTTCCTTGCTCTCTGCAAGGGTGTCGCAAATGGTTTGGCTACACTTCCATGAGAGTGGGAACGTGTTATCCACCATGGAACAATGCCATCACTGATTAGTTTTAGCCAAATCAGATACTAGCATAGTGAAAGACTTGGATAGGCCGGCTAACAAAATGTCTGTTTTTGTCTTGTGCTCGCTGTCTCAGACCTGAACTGTTCGTAATGTGAATAAAACATAAAACAGTTCTGGACTTGATAAAGAAGGAGTCTCAATTATTAAACTGAGCTTAGTTTTGAAATGACATTTGTCTTAGTACTTTTTGACCTGCCCACATTCTGACATGTGTGTAATCTAGTCTTTGTTTTTGGAGAGGATTTCATTAAAAGTGTGGGTGACTGGACTCCAGGCCTAGGGCACATGGACAGGATGTCTTAAACATGACACCGTGAATCGCAGACCCATTACAAACCCTGGCCTCTTCTCATAAAGCAGAAGTGAGCCACAGTTTCCTCCCTGTTCAGAGATTCATCTGCTGACCGTCCCGGTTGGCAGCGACAGCTGCACAGGAGACAGCAGACTCCTCCAGGAACCCGTTAACTGCACTCACAAATGGCATACTGTGCTGTGTCGCAGCACTTTATAAATAGCTGTGTTTGTTCTGGCCTGTAACAGTGCAAAGGGCTGCGCTTAGATCACGCTGTCCTCACGGGGATCAAGTTTGGGCTTGACCGGATCTTGGACAGTAGCTAACAAAAGGTACTGACAGCTCTGTTCATTAAAAAAAAAACGCAAATTGCATTATGTATCACTTCCTTTAAGATCCTCGGGGTCGTTTTCACATCAACCAGTGTTGAATGGACAGAACCCTCCCAGTGAAGACTGCCTCTGCTGTCAGGAAGGAGCAACCGTTCACACTCCCATTCACACCTACGGTCAACTTAGTCTGAACAATTAACCCAGTGTAAACAAACCTACACACAGAAGGAACACGTGACCTCCAGACTTCACAGACCACCAGGAATCAAACTGGTGATCTTCAAGAGCAACAACCACTCCTACACAGTGCGGCCCTATAGACCAGTGTTTTCCAACCTTTATTTTAAGTCACAGCACATATGTATCATCAGGAAACACCCTACGACACACCACCAAACAAAACTCTCATAAAAAGTATATGTAATGAAATACAATAATCCTCCAGTTTAAATGACCCCATGATTGACTAAAATCTCAGCCTGTTTAGTCAAAGACAACACTGATATACTGGCAGGAATTGAAGAAAGATATTTCAACATATCTGATTGTCTTTTTTTTTTAGTTTTCATAGGCACCTGCTGCCACCTAGCAGAAGAGCATTAAGTAATATATATAGAAGAGTAGAAGAGGGAGGAGTTACAGCTACACGCCATATATTTTGTCCCATTTACTTATATGGTGGATTCAGTGACTTAAAAACCAATCCTCCACCCTGCTGCCGTACAAATTCCCACATGTTAGCCATAAAAGCCTGCATCAATTTTTGAATATCCGAGAACATCACAGGCTCTTTTTAAATATTTCCCTGAAGGATAGTATGACTTCTTTTGGACCTGCAGCTATAATCTGTTATTTGCTAAAACTATCTGGCCTTATCACTGCAGGAAGAGGCATATACATTTCATTTAATGGCCCCAGGCCAAAATAACTTCAGGAAAAGCAGTTGTGTCCCCACCAAGAGTGAAGGAAATCATTTTTCCCATGCTCGGTCCATTCCTGTTTGGGTTTTTTTTTTTATTCCCTTTTCATATGTTTGCGGTGGATTAATCATACTGGAAAGATACACATTGGGATGTCAATGAGTCGCAGGCAGGAAATTATTAATGTGCTGGACATAAAGAAACATATGGTATTTAGGAACAGAGGAATGCCCGTGGGATAGCTGAGGGAGACGAGGGAGATTCCAGTCAGTCCACCACAAAGACTGTGCCCAAAACAAGAGCTTAGGAGAGACGGCTGCTGCTGCTGCTGCTGCTGCTGCTGCTGCTGCTGCAGGGCTACCAGCAACAGGTGTGAACCATTGTAACACTCAGCTGTTCATTTAAACCATTCAGGGTTAAAGGAATTACAGTACATTTATGTAAGAGGACACCTGACTACTCTACATTCATCACTTCATTTATGTACTTTCATGTACGACTGCATGTACATTTCCTAGTTTAAAGTAACGGATCTAATCTATACAAATCTATAAAACAGAATCACTTTTGGTTTTGGTGCTTGCTCAACATAGGATTTGCACCGACGACCCTCGGATCACAAGCCTGATCCTATAACATAGCAAGAAAATGAGCTGCTTCATTGGCCACACGCTGTTAGGTCATGAGGACAACTTTACAGGTCACAAGGACATATTTTTAATTTTCTGGTCAAAGTGCGGACTTCAAGGCCAAACATTTGTTTTGGCTCATAACCTCTCAGTGTACTGACAAATACTTTAATGTTTGACATGAATGTGACGGCTAAATGTCATTACATTAGCTTTGCTAGCTCTCTGAACCCTGGTTTGACCCATTACTATGCTAATGTTAGCAATCAGGGCTTCTCCTTAACTAATACTTTAATTTTTACCATTTGTACTGCTGTTATGACAACCGTTATTTCTAACAGTAGCAGTACTTCACAGAGACCCGAGCATTTTGGCCAGCATTTCTTCCTCTTAATGGTTAACTTTATTTGCCCCAGGCTTTAACCCCTGGTGTGCCGCAGTGTTTTATAAAGAAGTGCTGTGGAAAAAGGGCTGAACTAACATTAAAAGAAAGAATTAGCAGTTGCTAATCCTCAGCAGCCATGCAGAAACAGGGAGTGGAAACAGAGATGTGGAGACAGAGTCCATATAAGTGCAGGGAAAGCGGGGCAGTGAAAGGCTAACCGGGGCTTTTCTGCCCCTGTAACTTACACTGTATGTTATCCATACACAGTTCCACTTTAAACCTGTTTACTGGATGAGGTGCCTTGGCCTCTGAAGCCGACACCACCTCTCGTCAAAGGGGAAATAGGTCGAGGTCCTAGCGTGTTTCATGTGCCTGTGCATCCTTTGTCACCTGGAGCACAGCCAGGGCATGTCCTCCAGCTCTTAACAGGTTTTATGCTGTAATCCTCTGTAATACCCTGCTACTTTTGATGAGCATTTGTGAAAGGTTTCCCAAGGATGTGTTTCAAAGAGCACAGAGACAAAGGGAAACTGGAGCCTGCTGCCACCTCTCTCTCCTGTGGCGTACAGTTACACCTCAAAACACACGCAGTACATTCACGGCAGTAAATAAGTGCACCCCTCGTGGGAACAATAAAGCACAACTACTCACTTATAATGTAACGCATTGATTATTGTGACTGTGAGGTGTTTGTTTTGAGTGACCATGGGAATGAGCACTTGAGGAAAACGCCTCAGGAGTGTCCTCACCTTACCCGTCACGGCGTTTTGTGTCCAATATATTCATTCGTACGAGTCTGAGAATCACAAATGTGCAGCGGGGGTTCCAGAGAGTAAATGTTTTATCCTTCTGCCGGCATGTGTGTTTGCAGTTTGAGTTTTCAGAATCAATGAACTGTAATGTTTTCACCTTCAAAGCACATCATTGTTGATCGTACTTCAGTTTGTCGGCACACTTTCTGCTCACTCAGCACAACGCACAAACTCAAACACAGAAACTCTCACATAAAAATGTCAATTGGTTTTCCTGGCTAATAATGTTTCTGCTACAGTATCTGACCTGGCACATGACGCAGCAGTGGGTGGAAGAGTGATTTGCTGTTTTCAATTAAAATATACTGGAGGTCAGTGAGGAGGTATTGGCCAACTACTTTGATTTAGAGCAGTGAATTGCCCCCACATTCCACTCCATTAAATCAGTCAACTTTAATACCTTCTTTAAGATGAAGCCAAGCGGTGTATTTCAACTGGAGGAACGTATTTTCAAACGGCCTTGTCGTAAATAGTCGCAGAAAAAGCCGGGTCACAAATATCTGCCGACGGCCCGGCTTCAGAATGTCGTCCATAACACACACACATGCATCAGCAGGTCTGGACGGCGGGGGACACAGCGGGGTGCGAGGGATTAAAACAGATCAAACCCAAGTTAATAACTGCTAATGAGGAGCCCAGCCCAGTGCACTCTCATTCCTCTGCTCTGGTCCAGACACTCCTCTCTGCTCACACTGCTGCTGAACTGTCTTTCCCAATCTGCACTCACATGTAGGGGCTTTTCCTTGTGCAACAAAGCCCGGCACATGAATAGAAGAGTTGAAAGAGCTTTGAAGTGTAATGTTCAACTTTGTAAGTCAGTGTGCTTTGAATAACGTTAGAGAAACTGAATCGCTGAGTTCCACTGACTAGAGCTGGACGTTTAGCAAACATGTCAGCACCACTGAAACAGCAATAAAGCAAGTCACGCCAACTCCCCAAGATGATGTGGACGTAGAATCTGGAACTGATTATATTGTCACTAAAAGGGGTCTTTTTTTTTAACATATTTTCTTCTTCTTCTCTGTCTATATTTGTAGTTCCCATCTACGTGCCCTTCTTGATTGTGGGCTCCGTGTTTGTGGCATTCATCCTGGTGGGATCCGTGGTCGCCGTCTGCTGCTGCCGTTGCCTCCGACCCAAACAGGAACTGTCATCTGGAGGGGCGACAGGAGGTGGGGCCGGCAGCGGACGTCTCCTCGAAACCATCCCAATGATGGCCAGCACTTCCCGAGGCTCCTCGTCCCGCCAGTCCAGCACCGCCACCTCCTCCAGCTCCTCCGCGCCGCCTTCCGCGCCCCGCCCCGCCCCTCCCCCCCTCATGAGAGCTCAAGCCTCTTGCTGCCTGCCGCCTGACGCCAGCGTCTTCGTCAACATGCCCACCAACTTCTCCGTACTCAACTGCCAGCAGGCCACCCAAATCATGCCCCACCAAGGACAGTTCCTGCACCCGCAGTACATCGGCTACGCTCACCCCGTGTCTCCCACTGCTGCCTTCCTGGACCCCATCCAAGGAGGGTACAGGCCAATGCAGTCGCCGTGTCCTCCCACGGGAGGCTCGAGTGTCACCGGTGACCAGAAATACCCTCCTCTGACGGTGTGATGAGAGGCCAACACGCAGACCACTCTGCCAATGACTTTTGTGAAGTTAAACCTGTGAGGCTGCATTAGAGACCTTTGGAGAGGCTGCCAACGTGGAAAAAAGAAAGGCAGGGAGTCAAACTCACACCAAGGACTCATAAAGCCATTGCTGGCAGCGGGGCCTGCCTGACTTCTTGTGTGTGGTGTGTCTGTTTAAGTGTGTCATACGTGACCTCTTGCCAAGCTGGAATGAGCTAAGCTCCGTGTATGGTGGGGTTGGATGGATGAATAAACAAGTTTCTGTCTGGAGATGCAAACATTGGGCTGAATATCTGAGCGTTACACTGCCCAGATGTGTGATAGCACACAGCCCACTGCTGCCTGCAGCTGAAATATAGACTGTGTGTGTTAGTGTTTGCATGTATGTGCAGAGAGAGTGAGAGAAAAAGTTTGTTGGCTTGTATTCGCCTGAATGAATGATGTATGCTTGATTTATAGCAATGAATTGTATGAAAAGTGGCTTTTTCAACATCGCAAAAAAATCTACGACCACAGGCTGTGTTTATGCCGTGTGCATATGTGGTTTATACACTACAGAATATATGTTTGTGTGGAGACGTTTGTACGGTGCGTCTGGGAGAGTGTGAAGTGTGCAGGGCTGCGGTCGTGTGAGTAACTGTGAGTGTGTGATGGGAAATGCAGGTGGTGCAGTGTGAACGGCAGTTGCGATCTCCCTGCAGAGCAATTAAACTCAAATGAAGCGGAGGCTGGACGCAGACTGTGACGCTACACCTTCCTGTACAAACGCCCTCAAACCACCCGAAAAATCTAGGCAACAGAGAGAGAGGGGGTGGGGGGGGCAGTCCTCGGGGTCAAACAGCCTGAGGTGGAAGCAGAAAAGATACAAAAATGAAAGAAAGCTCATGCACGGCCGGTGGTTAATGTAGCTGACCGGTGTGAGAGTGTGACAGTGGGGGAGTGTGTGGCTGCCCTCGGAAGATTAGAGTTAATTATACAGTGAAAACTGCCAAATGCCCCCTTCACTTCTCTGCTCTGAGTGTGTGTGTGTGCATGTGTTTAACTCTCCCCACGTTCAGTGCATTAACAGAGGGCACAGGCAGCTCCGGGGCAGCTTTGAGTCATTACTTTCCACTTAACACGAGGCTCAGAAACGTTGGTTATTGGTTGTAAAATAAAGAATAACAATAAAAAGGATGTTTCCGCAGCATATTCACAGAACTGCTGGGCAGCTGGGAGGTACTGGTGACCGGTAATTAACGGTGAATCTGCAGCCTGAGAAACGTGCCGCTCCACTGAGCGTGCAGCCTGACATGTCCCACTACACTATTACTAAGACCAGTCCGTCTGTGACTGGTCTCCAACGTCTGCACCCGTCGGTGAGGTGCAGCAGGCAGCTGCTACCAGGAGTGGGCAGAAGAATCTTGGGTCTAATGAGTTCGTTGATATGGGGCTGACACTTTTCATGTGAATGGATTTTGACAATAAACAACTTTTAAACCACAAAAAAAAGTGTTTCAATTCATGCGTTACAGTAGGAATTCACCGTGGAACAAAATGTCTCAACAAAAGCAGTTATTTTCTCTAAACCTTTGATTGGAGTTGATGTTACTGAGGGACAAATGTTGTCACACCAACACTTGGCGTAAAGGCTTAGTTAATAGGTGTAAGTCTGTCTAATGAATAGCTTTACAAAAGAATCGTATCTGAGAGGCCAAATCCCCGTTAAACACCGTGTTAAGCTGTTGAGAAACACTAAGTAGAAACATTCACAGACGGCTGAACAAATATCAGTCACGTCACCAGGAGAAGGAGGTGTAAGAAACCACAACAATGGACACTTTAAATCTGTGGCTGTGTAGAAGTGAACCTTTGGCAGGAACCCCGCAGGAACCTCGGCTGCAGTAATGCAGAGAAGTCGCTGGGGAGGAGGTGAAACGCACAAAGGGCTCTCTGGGCCCTGCTCCGCCGCGCTCCGATGGATTCTCCATACTGGAGCAGCTGTGGCTGGTTTGGGCTGGGTCACATCCAGAAAGGTGGGTGGGAACGGGATCTCCAGTTGGACTGCGTTGTCCGGCGGCTGGGGTGTGCATTAATGGTTTAACGGTCCATCTCCATCGACTCTCCTGAGGTTAGAGAGAGAGCGTGGGAGAGGTGTGATGGATGGCTCTGTGAAACTGTGCGTTTAACACAAACCCTTTTTGTTCATTTTCAAGCATAAAATAAAAATCCAAACCTTCAGTGCAGACACAGTTCGACACAGACAGACGTCACCGTGGAGCTGGGAGCCACGGTAACATTCAACAGACGGAGACGTGTTTTTGTCAGGCCATGGATTGATTAGATTTAATGATTAGGACTTGAGTGGACACCTCCCTCCCTCCCCTCCTCTGTCTTCCACCACTGCAGGCCTGCATTCCTGAAACAGTGTCTTCAACACAGAGCAACAATAGACTCTACACTCAGACAATGGCCAGAGCCAGAAAAACACATGATGCAGGCGAGAGTCCCAATCCGGTCCCTTCTGTTTCAACGCCGATGAGCAGTAGTTCAAATGTTCCCTCTTGGACTTGTTGTGACACATGGATACAAAAACAGGCAGAGAAAAAAAACTGATATACAAACACGTGTACACTGACTTCACTTAAAAAAAAAAACAACAACAAAACAAAGGTACAGGTCCTGTAAAGATTTCAACACAAGTGAAGGAGGAAGCGCTGACGCCAGGCGTGCTGACTGTACCTCAGCTGACGGAGCTGGACAGAGGAGGTCGTCACAGTTGGAATGGAGCACACAGAATGGAATTTTCAGTGCAGACGAGGATGAGGAGGTGTGAAGCAGAGGAGAGACGTGAGGAAGCTGCAGAGAGGCAGCTGGGGATGGAGAGACAGGAGGATCGCAACGGAGCCTGAGGAGGAGTCAGGTCCAGGTTGGGATCTGCCTTCAGCCTCAGCCACGTGTGTGTGGTGTACGGCAGTGAGGAGACAGAGTCAGGCCTGGAGCTGCAGCTGACCTCCGGTGGTCCGCCTCAGGCTTCTGCCTCATCTTCTTCAGGAATCCTCGTGTGCGTTTATTTTCACACCCTCCCCAATTTTATGTCAGTATGTCGTGACATCACAAGAGGAAAAGTGGAAGAAACTGTGGAAATGAGCGCACGGACACACACACGCACACACACACACACGTACAGAACCACAGGTGGGCCAGTGCATGCAGACGTACATGCACAAAGAGATACTGACACGTGAAGATGCAAACACACACTTGAACACACACTTGAACACACAGCGGGTAGATTCAAATCCTACAGGGTTATATGTGGATGTGGAGAAGTCTGAGTTTGACTTGTCATGTCTGTGCATGGATATGATTACTCATGCCTGCGCAGCTTGGTAAAGTTTGTTCCGTGTGTTTGGCCCGGTTCCTTCTCTCATATTAGTCCTCCATGCACGAGCGACGGTCTCCAGGTCTGACCATGACCCCTGCCCCAGACGAGGGGTCAGGTCACAGTCCCTCCAAGGCCACAGCAGGGCTCCACCACCCGGGGTCAGGGGTGGTATATGAGTCTGTCTCTGCTGTCGCCCTGATGACTGTTGCTTTGGTGAGCCAAAGTCTTGGCCGAGGGGCGGGGCTAGAGGCTGGGGCGCTGGCGGGTGGTGTCGTAGGAGCGGACAACCTGGGACTGGGACACCACGCCGTGCTCCTCCTGAGAGAAGGCGTAGCCATCTGAGGAGACAGAAGGACGGACGTGAAATGAAAGACAGAATCACTACAACAGATGTTTATGAGTGGAAGGGTTTATCAATGGGAAAAAAATCCACAGGGATCCAGTAATGCAGCTCAGAGGAAACTTCCAGAAGAGGTGAGAGGTCGTGAGGTCAGGATCGACCTGCAGGGGGAGGCTCACTGATCGAAGTTACACATTTGTAAAGAACAATTTGCTTTTTTATATTTGAATATAGAATATTTTGAGACCAGAATGCAGGAAGCCCCTCCTACAGGTCTGTGCTGTTACTGCATCTGGAACTGCGATACAGTATTTATGATACTTGGACAAATACTCTTAGTGGTTTCAAGTGTAAGAAGAGTTACATCTGTCTCTAAGTGACATCACTTTTCGGCTTCATTACATATTTGGAAGATGGTGTAAAAGAGGTTTAAAAAATGTCAACGATAGCAACTGTTAAACTGTTGTTGTTAAACTAATATGTGATTTTTGTTTTGTTTGACAAAGCACGACAGCTCAGTCTAAAGTGAATCAATATTCGTATGTTTCCTGAACAGGACACTCACGTGACACGGTCTGCTGCACCGAGTTCGATCGTCCCACACTTGAAGGTGTTTTCCTAAAGACTCTTGTCAGCAGATGGGCTCGTTCGTTTAGACTGAGGACGAAATCGGAGGCAAAGTCAGCGACCAATGACAACACACGGGAAAACAAACACCAAGACAGCAGAAATATCTACTACCAACACAACTAGACACCGAAAAATACACTTTAGTCAAGTCCAGAATATACAGATGATGATTCTATATATATATAAAATACATATTTTAAGGATTTCATGTTTTCTTCAACATTTAAGAAAATTCCCAGAATAGTCTTGACATTTAACTTTCAATTTTTACAGTGAAGTCCGTTAGACATTTTCAGTGAGGATATACTCTTCCTCTGTACTGCAACTTTATGGGTTTTGTCAATATTTTATGTCTTAAATGAAGTCAGTCGGCTAGTTGGTAACATTTTCCTGGAGTCGAACACACACGAGCAGTTAAATCAGGAAAAAAGTAGAACTCCCCTTCAGTCTGTACCACAGAGTAGAAACACCACTGCACCAGTGAAAAAAAAAAAAAAAAGTAAAAGTGAAATTAAGAGCAGAGAGTCGGTAGAAGGTGGATTTGATTCTGACTGCTTCTGACATTCAATTCAAGCCAACAGTAATTCATAAACTGCCTGCGGGGCAACAGGACATCCACAGTGAAACCATTCCTCACTCCTCACTCCTCTCTCCTCTCCTCTTGACTCCTCCCTCTGCATCCAGAAGACTGGACCCTCTGTTCCGAGACCACACGCCGTCACAGCTCCTCTCTTTGCCTGACCAAAAATAACTAAGCCTTTTCCAGATTTTTCAACACAAATGCAAGAATGCATGCACACTTTTTACCTTTTCACGGCTTAAGTCTCAAAATGTGAAGCAAGTATTAGGGGGTTGCTGGGTCAGGGAGTTGTTCTGTCAGTTTTATGCATTAGAGCACATTTTCTCCCTTATCTGAGAAAATGGAGCAATAAATTCACACAGGGGGGGTTTCCCTTACAGCGGTCACGATGATCAGTGGAGCAGTTATGGGAAAAAAAAAACTCAGCTTCCCTGAGTTCAGGCAGTCAGGAAATTCTTAACACTGAATGTGACTGTTGGGAACTGAGTGTAGTGTGAAAAAAAGAAGAGGAAAAATGAGGAGAGGCTCAGAAGTTTGTCCAAACAGGATTTTTGGGCCAAAAAGAGGACGTCTGTTAAAAACATGACAGCGATGAATAAATGTTTAAAGACCAATGTGGAGGCTGGACCAATGAATGAAAGGCTCACGCATGAGTACGCCTCACGTCGTTCGTTCCCCATCGGCGATGTCAGTGTCAGCGAGACGACCTTTCTGATTCAAAACGGTTCTGAGGATGTGCTCGGTTTGAACTCCCCCTCTGAGACAGCTCCTGCTCTCTCCTCTCCTCTCCTCTCCCCTCCCCCCCCTCTCCCCTGCCTCACCCCCCCCCCACCCCCCCAACCTCCTCTCCATTTTTGCTCAATTTCCTCCCTGCCTTTTCTGACTTTGCTAAATGAGCAGGACTCTGAGGATCCAGGAATGAGATGCCGGGTCAGTCAGTGTGGGGGCGCTGTAATAAGACCGTAATAGAGGAGGACCGTGGTTAAACACTCCTCACCCCTCAACCTCAAGACATCCAGAACCTTCAAAATCTGTGGGTTAAATAAAGTACATTTTTGCTTTATTATTTATTACCTGTCTGTTCTACCTGCACTGGGACTCGATTAGCATCGCTGCTAAAACCTGGGAAAAGACTTAAATACCGCAGATGGTCAATGTTTTATTCTGAACTGTCCCGGTCAAAAATTAAATTGCATTAGGATGAAAAAAAAAACCAGCCTCTACCACAGATCACCTGGCTCTAACACATGTCCAAACACCACAGCACAGACACGGCTAAGCCACAGTGGTGGAGGAACTACAGACACGTCCAGTGAACACACCAGATCTGAACAGCAGCTCAAATTCATCCACCTACGACGTCATCCAGGTGAAGGAGTGGATACAGAGAGAGAGAAAAACAACTGTGAAAATTCACTCCAAGGCACAGGTCATCAGAGGTCAGAGGTCAGAGAGTCCACACACTAGGGAAACTACCTGTGTTACTACATGTGTCAGCTGTGGCTCTACGGGACCTCAGCTGTGGCTTCGGCTCTGAGGACGGTGCCGCAGAGGGAGGGAGGAAAAATGTTTACTTTATACAAAAACATAAAACATTTTTGATGACGGTCGTTGTCACAGGGAACCAGAAGTTAAGACTCAGGTGATGAAAAGAGGGCTTTCAGTACAGACGCAGGGTGAAATACATTTTTACCTCAATGAATAAAATCAACACCTGTTTAAGAACATGTTACTACAGGAATATGTTCAATGCCACACATAAAAAAGCTTCATTTTCACACAAAGCTCCGTAGAGGAAATCAGTGCTTTTATACCACAGACTTCACTCATCAACCATGACGTCAGACGAGGTGCAACAGGTGCAACCAAAGCACCTGTTAGTGAGAGTAGCCTCTGTTGGACGGAGCTTTTGTTAAAAGTTTTCACCTAAGGGAAGTAACTGTGTCTCACTCTGGTTCCCAGTGAAGATGATACCAGTTGTTCCTCTGAACCCCCTGACCCATCCACAGACTAAAAACACATTGTCAATAATACTGGAAATAAATATTTTTAATATATATATTTTTTAATTTAAAAACCCCATATGCTGTTATGACATATAACAGTTTAAACTGCCTCCCTCAGAGACTTCCATTTACCTGCGTCCGCTAGCGTCTCGTAGAACAGCTGCTCCGGGGTCAACAGCTCGAGCCTCCAACTCCTGCACCTCCTCTAGAAGAGATTTTCTCACTGTACGACGAATTCTGCACAATAAAAAGTGTTGTCACCCTCAGACACAAGTGATTCAAAGTATAAAGAGTGTGTAAGTGTTGACACTGACTCCATTTGGGTTCAGTAGTCTGTGTATGAATAAAAAAAATAAACTAAAACTAAACTAAAAAGATTATCAGAGCTGTTGAGGAAGATCTTTGCGAGTGTCTTTCTTCAATTCCTGACATCAGTCTTGTCTTCAACTAAACAGGCTGATATTTTAGTTTTAGATTTTTGTTTGGTGGTGTGTCGTGGGGTTTTTCCTGACGATATATATGTGTCGTGGCTCAAAAAAGGTTAGGTAAACACTGGTCTATAGTATATATAGTTTATAGTATATATATGTATACAGTATATATAGTCTAATGGTCTAAAGTATACATAGTACTTACGCAGTCCAGGCATAGTCTTTGAGTAAACACGCAGCAGGGACCAGGACCAGGCCCAGCCAGAAGTACCAGCACTGCATCACACTGCCAGCCTGCGATGACAACACAGGGGCCATGTTTACATCACTTTCATGTCAATGCCGCTCAGCATGAAGTCATTTTTTTTTCCATCATTAACATGAGTAACATGTGGTGAAGGCAGTGAGAAATGTGAGCCGGCACAAAGAGAAGGAAGGCGTAAAGAATCAGAGTTATTCAGAGTCCGATGCTGGTAACGTTAACCAAACATCTTCCACAGCTTTCCCACACCACAGCATCTGAACCGCAAACTGGTTTTAGCACCGTATTCCCAGAGCTGAAATATAACGCTTCAACAAGGGCTGGAGAGATAAAAATGTGACCAAATAACCACAGATCACTTCTACCTGCCCGTGCAGCTGCAGCCTGTCCCACTGACCTTTGACCCTCAACTTCAGACCAGCCCCTGGGATTAATCATGCCTCTGACCGATGTCTCAATTCATCCGTCTGTCCGTCTGAGTCCCCCCACATGTCAGTTCCTCCTGTGACCGCTCTCTTTTCATCTCACTTTTCCTCCACTCTCTTCTATCGTCTCGTTCTTTCTCTTCCTATAAATCCTTCCCGTCTTTATGAGAAGAGGGCAGAGGGATTTATAAAGTAAAAATCCTTCTGGATTTCTACAAGAGCTGCGTGCTGCTTCACAAGCTTTATTCTCTACGACTCTAGGCGTGAACCTTTACGTCAGGAGCCGCACTTTATTCACCGTGACATCTTTAAATGCTACTTTACAGCCAGTGTCATGTTCTTCCCATGTCGTGCAATTGGATCCAGAGACAAAAGACATTATGTTCCCTGGTGGAGGAGAGGAAAATAATTGGAAAAACCATTATGTACAAATCCTGCAGCGCAGCTGGAAACGACACGGAGCAGATTATCCCGACGTGTTCATTGTTCCTCCGTGTACATCGCCTACACGCCGAGGAACACGGCTCTTTTTTGTAGCAGCGCTGGATTCTTTTCTTCAGAGCTCGTATTAATGTAGAATAAAACTGTACTGTAAATTATATTCCTACGTTTTGACAGGTTGACTGAGAGAAGTGCAGCATTCAAAGTCTGTTTCACTGCAGGAGCAGGACGGATATACAGTGTATTAACGACCACGTGAGCCAATGACTGTGGTGGTTTTCCCATCAGTCCAAATTCACCTGTCAATCAACAACCAAATCTGTACTTAATGTCAAAATATCATTTCCATTCATGTATATGTATATATATATATATATATATATATACATATACAGGGCCATCAAACAAATATTTATCTTGTATTTAATCATGATTAGTCATGATGTGATGAATCCAGATTAATCCACAGCTACATTGAAATACTCATATGAAAAACGATCCCCTGCTGGGACCCCCCCCCCCAACATACACATGCACAGGGTTTTTCTTTTTAAAGGAAGTTATTTTCATGACTGTGTCCCCTGTGAACAGATGAATATACAAACGTTAAGAGCTGAGGGTAATAAGAGAGGTACTGGGGGGGTTAAGGAGGGGCAACAGAGGTTGGTGGGGGGGATGTGGTCGAGTGTCTCTGACTGTTCCTCAGTCAGACGGAGCAGCTGCACAGATATTTGACCGCATTCCTGATTTCTGACACAAATTGAATTAATGGGTTGAGGGCAGTTGAGACGGCCCGTATTCCCTTCCCGTATCCACCCGGTGGGGGCGCCTCACCTCACCCCCTGCTGATATAGCCAAACTCTAAAATGAGTCTCTCAATCAAGGGGTCTGAGTGTAGACCGCCCCCACTAAACCCTCATCGTCATCATCGTCATTATCGTCATCATCGTCATCACCCGCTGCAGCAGCAGCAGCAGCAGCAGCAGCAGTTGCAGCAGCAGTCCTTTGAATCAACACCTCCACAGAGGCCAGTAAAAGAGTGGGGGCTCGGGTGACATGCAGCAGGTGCGGGAAGCCTGGTGAGAGGAGCAGGAGGGGCGTAAATCTCCCCGTTGGGTTCCTGCGGAGGGAACGTGGAACACCCAAGGGGTGAGTCTCTCAGGCGCCACGAAGTGGACGCTGAGGAACAGGGAGGGGCAGGTGATGAAGGTTTGAGGGAAGGAGATGTTGAGGGCAGGGGGCTATTTTAACCCCCCATCGACCTCCTGTTAATGAAGTGAGTGACACGTGTCCACAGAGACACAGAGAGAGGGACGGAGGACTTGCCTGGCCCAGCATGTCGGGGGCAATAGGGATATTGGGCCAGATGGCCGAGTAGACGGCGAAGAAGACCATCCAGAGCGCCATGCTTCCCCAGACCGCCAGGTGAGAAAACTACAACAAAGAATGAAAGGAGAGGGATTGTGGGTAGAGATTAAGACACAGGGCCAGGAGACAGCGTGAGGTCAAATAGTTCACATACAGCTCAGCCCAATATAGACAACCTTTCCCTCCCTGCGTCCCTCGTCTTCATCCTGCCCTCTGTGATCTGCTGTAAGTGGACACTGTGTGAATTCCACGGAGACCTGGCTTCATTACTGCCAGGCTGTTGTGTGGACAGCTGAATGGACAAAGGTGTCGGTGCTCCGCCGTCCATCCTGTCACTCCCCCCTCTCACCCCTCCCTTCTACTACGGCAGCATTGATTTACATGGTGTCAGGACCTGAGCTACTGTGGTGGTGAAGTACTACACACACACTCTGCTGGTTTGAATGTGATCACAGTGGGGGGCGGGGGCCAAACACTGGTCCAAACATTTACTATAAAATGTGAAGAAAAAAAATAAAAGTCTAAATTTCTAAATTATCACATACAAGAAGAGGTCTCTACCAAAGAGTATATCAGTTTGTACTATAAAACATATTACACCAAAGTATAATCTGAATACGTAAAAAGTATTTTATAAAAAACTAACTAAACACTCTCTAAAATCAATATAGTATTTAAATAGTATACTTTTAATTATTATCAGTACAGCTTCTGTAACCATCTTAAAATAGTTAATATTTAATTAAATTTGTGTCTTATTATAAGTGAAGTAAAAAAAGCTGCACCTCATGTTCCTCATCTTGTTTAGAATCTTTATTGCTACAGCGTCGATAAAACTATAATTTCTTTGAAATTCATTAGGTTTGAGTTACTGCTTCTGTTGGTTTGGTCACAGCAGCGTCCATATCAAGTATCTGTTTTTTTCTGGATTGTAAGGAGGTCGGAACGCTGCCGTCTGTTGACGATCAGCGACAGCGACTCAGTGTCGTTTATCAACAGCTCCAAGTGCTAACGTCATCAGTGTCATGTGTGATGTTGGACTGATGTCAGGAAACACGGTTCATAAAACTTTATCTTTGTCTACACAAGTGATTTTAAAGCTTTTAGGCAGAGGGGGCGCTCCAGGAAACTTTTTTTTAAAATTCTCAACCCTTAAAAAGTCTCTGTATCATTGAGTTTCCAGATAAGAAAAACTACTGTCAATGAATCACATTTCACGTTAAATCAAATCATCTGTACTCTGGTATGCACAAACAGTAACTGATGCTAAGGTGTTAGCTGTTCAGCTCCTTTTCTCACAGGTTTTATCTGCTTCCACAAACTCAGCACTTCTCGGCGCGTCTTCGCCGTGAAAGCGTTCTGAGTGACGTTAATGGTTAGAAAGTGCTCTAGTATCAATAGTTGGACATTTTCCAACTCGGCTATCCACTGGATAAAGTTGAAATATTGCACGGGGCTAATGGAAAAAAAAAGAATTACACTCAGACACTCTGTGGAGGGAAAGGTGCAGGGAGCTGCAGTTTCAGAAACCTCAGGCCGTGAAGTATGGAGACGAGGGTGAAGTTCTCACTCTGAAATAGAACTGGACCCCCCCCCCCCCTGCCCCCCCTCCTGTTTCCCCTCACCTCCTCTTTATTTATCAACTGTTGAGTAAAATACAGTGCATGTGGTGTGGCATCTTAGAGTGTGTTAATGTTCCTACCCTGGTCCAGGCGGGGGGTTCCATTCCTTCTTTTTTAAACAATGTTAATAACACGCACTGTACACACAACACACACACACACACAAAAAAGAGGAAAAAATGGCATTAGTTCTCTGGCAACCGTGGAGATAATAAACATTAATGCTATAGTAAAGTCAGCAATGTCTGCTACGATAATCAGGACCCCCACAGGCACCGGCAGTCCAAACACACGCCCACACACTGATATTCACAGGAGACTAAAGGGAGTAAAACGATAGTGAGACTGTGTGATGGAAGGTGAATAGAAAGAAGAGACGGATGACGAGCAGAGGAGACCGACTGGCTAGACAGGACAGATTGACTGGAGACTGTGGACGACTGTGGGGAAGCTGAGCTCCGGCTGCAGCGTACGGCAAACACACAAACAAAACAAGAAACACCGCACACACCGGTACGGGGCTTACCGTGTACACCATATTTCCTACGAACAGGTAGTCGTTTCCATGGCCATTCTGGAAGGGGGAGTCTGCAGGGGGTGGGGGGAGTGACACAGATGTGGTGAGACAGAGAGGTGGTCACCTGGTCATAGCTGCAGCTCTTCTGTGTGAGACTCACCGTGCTCCAACATTTTCAGTGGAAACCAGAAGAGAATAATTGAATGAATCAGTGCGTTGATGCAGTGTCCCCAAAACACCTGGAACACACACACACACACACACAGGAGCAGAGCGTGAACTGACACTGTGTCCATGCCATCAAACCTGTCTTCCACACACACACACACACACACACACACACACACACCGTCGGTGGGGAGGCTTGCTGGAGCTCACCCTCTAAAATGAAAGACTTTCTTATTCTGCCCTTATGAATCTCATTACAGGTCGTCATGGAAACGCCCCGGTCTTCGTGCCACTTGTTTACTCGCTGGCGTGCCAAACAAACACGTTGGCATCGCTCGCCGTCCCTCAGCGCAGCCACAAGGTGTGAAGAGTGAACCAGTGACAGATTGACTTTGAGATGCACCACACGGTCAGTGTGTGTGTGTGGTGTGTGTGTGTGTGTGTGAGAGCGCTTGAAAGAACGGTCAAATCAGACAGTGACTGTGTGTGTGTGTGTGTCTGCCCCGTACCCTGGTGTTGAAGCCCGCGGCATTCTGGGTAATACGGTAGAGCTGCGGGAAGCGGAGCATGTTCTGCTGGCTGCACGGCCGGTCAAATATACCCAACGTGAACGGAGGCAGTGCAGTGAAAATCTGTGAAACACACACACACACACACACAGACAGAGACATTTAGGAGCGTTAATGCACGTCATACGTCAGCGGTGTTCTTAAATACACACTGTCACTGTGGCTGGATGACGATCACATGACCTGGACTAAAAGACTTCAGTTAATGTTTTAAAGATGGGATTATTTGGACTCAAACATAAAACACACACACACACACTCTGTCTCTGGTCAGTGGGGCGTCCTGTGATAAGGAGACAACGTGAAGTGAGATTGATGGAGTGATTATTAATTATCAGCTGTTTAACACAGTGGAGGGACGGGGTGAGACGGGGTGAGACGGAGAGGGGGACAGGGTGGAAACTCACCACATTGTAGAGGCCTATACACCAGCGCTCAAAGAGGATCTGCCCCGAGAAGCCGTTCACGAAGGCAAACCAGAGCTGGAAGACAAAGACAGTGGTCAGAGTGGACGAGGACAACAACAGTGGACGACGAATCTGCTGTTAGAGAAGAGGGGGCTGTGAAAATGGACGGAGAAAACAGACGGAGAAAACAACTGCCCCTGTGAAAAACATGAACAGTGGAATTAACCGTCTATGTCATAGGTGTCAAACTCAGGCCCGCGGGCCAAATCTGGACCCTGGTGTAATTATATTTGGCTGCAAGATCAAATCAAATGTGTATTAGAGCTGGATGCATGATATTACAGCACACTCATTTTTGGCTGTTCTTTTGTTGGTCTGTTAAAATAGATTTATATATTAAGCTTTGGTTGTTACAGATTCAAATTTTATGTCAATTTTTAAGTTTGTTGCCATATGAAAAAAAAATCTACCTTGGACAGAAGGGAGCACATGCAGAATTCCAGTAAATTTTAAATAAATATTGAAAATCGTCCCATAATCTTGTCCCAGTTTTTAATTTTGAGCCACTGTGAATTTGAGTTTGACAGCCCTGGTCTATGATGTTCATTCTATTTCACGTCACTGAGTCAGTTTATTTAAAAAATAAAAAAAGTTAAATCAACTCTTGATTTCACAAGTTTGAGACAAAGTTGATGAAGGTTTTGACCAAACCCGTTTCCTCTGCGTCACAGTTATACTACAGTTATACAGTACTACGTTGGTGTACTCTGTGTGTACTTCCTGCAGCTCCGTTAAACCTCGTACACAACGTTTTTACAGCATTCTTTACGCAGCTTGAGGCCGGCGCTGAAACCACCGTCTTCACTTTATACAAGTTAAATTACAAAAACAAAATGCCAAAGTGTCACTCTGCCCACGGCAAATGTTCGTTAGCGCCGGCTTTTTTCACGTCTACACACATACACACACAGACACAGACACAGACACACACACGGTATGGATGCAGACACTGGCTGATCACAGGGCTGATAGTGAAAATGTTTGGGGCCACTGCTGGGAG